TATGAGCCTTATAAAGAGAATAAATGAGCAATGACTCCCTTTAAAAAAATTTTTTTTGTTTATTTTGCCATTGAATTATAGTTTGCTTCCAGTGTATACCCACAAAGAGGCGTGGGGCACCGTGAGCGTAGGGCTAGTGCTGCAGCCACAGGACACAGGCATGTGTAGCTGTGTCATGACTTAGCTCATCCAGTTAGAAGTTCAGTTAATTACTAGGGTCAAACGTTATGGTCAGGCACCCTATGAGATTGTTGGCTGTGTGCTCCATCCCACGGACACAGAAAGGCCCCTTCATCTCAGTCTTTCCCTGGTAGTGAGGGCACAGCTGTGGTGGGGATGGAGGAGGAGGACAGGGGTGAGGACACCCTATTTCAGATTTAAAGAATCACCTCCCTGTGACAACTGACAGTGTGATCATCTCATCCCTTTGAGTGTCATTTACCGTTTTTTGGTCTTTGGGTGTGTTTGGAACGGAGAGCTCACTAGAGCCTGGTTTTAAAGGATTCATTTCTCTCCTGTCTCAATTCCACAGCTTGCAGTGAGCTGCACACTCCCTCACTAGACCGGAAACCAAATAGCTTTGTAGCAGTGAGTGTGACCACCCCTCCTCAGGCCTTCTGGACGAAGCACGCGCAGACGGAGATCATCGAGGTGGGTGCTGCTGGCCCTGGGGCTCTGCCATAGGCTCGCGTGGCGTTTCTCATCTCATGGGAGGGCTGTTCAGGAACCTGAGCACCTGCAGCTGCAGTTACATTCATGAGCTTTCAGTACATTGGTATTTTTCACCACACTTACTCATCCGGGTGGCATTTCTGTTTACCATATCCTTTACAATTATTGATGAGCTATTGGCTGGTTATTTTTGAACAGTGATCCTATATGATCGATCGCCTTTTAAGAGGTGACCTAATTTCTCCCTTGTCGCTTCCAATTGGCTGCTACTTTTAGAGAATTGTGCTCATTAGTCGAAGTTTAGAGAGTAAAGAACCCTCTTCCTGGACATACCCTGTTTTTATCGGTTTTTATTTTTAGAGCCTTTGAGTTGTGTGTTACATATTTATTTTTTACATTAAATTGAATGATACGCATTCACCTTGGGAATGTTACAAAATTTTTTTAGATAATTGAGCCCTTTGTGTTAGCTGTGAAACTAAGTGTAGGAATTGGTGGTGTGAGATTCTGCAGGGTTCTGCTGGCAACGTGAGCATCTGTGTGGATTATCCCCTCGCTGGCCGTCTCCAGGAGACTTACACGGTACTTCTCATTGTCCCCAGTTTTTCGTTTTGGAAGACAGACCCTTTTCATTGTCTTGTAAACTTATTTCCAAGTTCAAGTCAACAAACTGTTTTGTGAGCGTTCATTGAGCACTGCCTACACGTGAAGCACAGTACTGGGTGCTGTGGATGACACAGAGACCGCTGAGGCCATCCTGTGGGTGGGGAGGCAGAAATGAGCGTGGCCATGTCTGTACCCAGTAGAGTGTGTGTGGGGGGGTGTTGAGAGATGAGGACAGCACCAGGAGGATGGATGGGGTCCCAGCCAGCTCTATGGATCGGAGGTGGCTTCCTTGGGCCGCTTAGTGAAATTCTGACCTGATAGGTCTGGGGTGGGGCCTGAGACTCTGAATTTCTCACAGGCTCCCACATGATGCCCACGCTGCCAGCCTGGGGACCACATGTTTCAGAGCATGCCAGAGTTACATGTTAGTGATCCACAGGCATGGCAACCAGAAGGCATCACATGTTTTGGAGAATAAGTTAGCCTGTTCCGTGTGTACAAAAGGCATAGGTGGGAGAGCAAGGAAGATGCTTTGAGCATCAGGCTGGGCATTTGCTGTGGGCCAGTGCAGGCTTTTACACAGTGGGTCACCTGGCCAGAGGTGTCTCAGGGCGGTCCTAACTCAGACAGTCATTTGGGGGAGTGACATGGCACCTAACTGGCAGTGGGAAGGAGGGGAAAGAAGAGGTGCCTGTGAGAGTGGACTTGTGGGAGGGGGTCATCATCACTGGGTGGCCGAGAACAATGGAGGAGGAGGCGCCAGAGCGGATGCCCAGGTTTGTAGCCTCCTTGGAAGGAGAGTAGGAGAAGGTGAGCCAAGGGCGGATGGAGCAAGAGGCTGGGTGGGCTGGGAGATGTGAGAGGCTGGGTTTGGGGCCGCAGAGGATACACAGCCGGAGGCACGGACCCCACCACAGGTACAAACAGGCACCGTTAACCATTTGGCTGTGATAACTACCTGCTGCCTGAGGAAGAGCATATAATATCATGGGGCTTTGGGGGGTGAGGCTAGGCTGCCAGGAAATAACCACCTGTGATCTAGAAACTAGCAGCTAGTCCTCAGAAAAGGGGGAGCCTTAAAGGTTAGGCCTTAATTATTCTAAACCACAGGATTCTAGAAATAAGGAATGACTTAAGCCATTCATTTCCTCTTTCATCTGCCTTTGCATGTCTTACAGGAACAGCCCAAAGTAGTAGGTCCAAATCCAGTAGGTCCTAAAGTTGTACGACTAAGAATAACATGGACCGTCAACTTGTTTCCATTTTAGGAACCCCCTCCTAGTAAGTGAGAATCCCTTCAAATGAGCCCTGGACACAGCTTGTGTGGTGGCCCATTAGTTGTGCCCGGAGCTGAAGGGCCTGGCAGACTCCTTTGCCCTTTTTGGAAAGCAGATTTTTGGTTGTGTGCATCCATGTATGCCGGCATAAGCATTTGTGTTGCTCCAAGTTGCTAAGAATGTTAGTTTCCCGTTCTAGAAAATGTTGCTATATTTTAAGAGCAATTACTGTAAAAATCCAACTCTGTGTTCTGATGATTTTCTTTTCTGTTCTAGGGAACCAACAATCCTATATTTTTAAGCAGTATTGCCTTCTTCCAAGACTCCCTTATCAATCAGATGACTCAAATCAAACTCTCCGTGTATGATGTCAAAGACAGATCTCAGGGAACAGTTAAGTAACACATCGTGGTTCGTTGGGTTTTCTTCCCTTCTTTTAAGTTCTGTAGTCATTTCAGTGAGAGGCGAACACGGGATTGACTTTACCACTGGCTCACAAACTAGCTGATGTCCACACGGATTTGTCTTTGGGAATTTCTTTCCGAGCTTCCCTCCTGGGCTCCTGTGATGAGGATCCGAGGTGTGGGAACCGGCCAGCCGGACTCCCCAGGGACCTGGTCATTGGAGCAGAAGCAGGACAAGGAGACTCAGGCTGTGTCTCCCTCTTCCTCAGATGTATTTACTGGGCTCTGGAACATTCGTTGTCAAGGATCTGCTCCAGGACAGGCATCATCGGCTGCATTTAACACTCAGGTTGGTGTTTAATTTTGTTCCTTTGATGGGGTCTGGAGTTAGGAGGTCCAGGTCGATGGGGAGGGGCCCCGTCTCCTGCCTCCTCCCGGAGGCTGGTCTCTGCTGGGAGTGGCTGTCCACTGAGGCCCGTGAGAGGACCCATCGTGGTGTGTGTGTGCGGAATGCGTGCTGGATGCAGACCTGAAGGAAAACCTCGCTGCATGTCTCACGACACTGTGTTTGCCTAGTACCTGCCTCTCCGCAGTAGATGTCAGCTCCCAGAGAGCAGTGGGTCATTGCTGTGTCCTTAGCATGTAGAGCAGTGCCTGGCGCTCGATAAATATTTGTGGGAGGGAGAGAAGGAGGCAGGGAGGGAGGGAGGCTGTGTTCCTGGAAGGAAGATGAAAGTGTCAAGATGGCAACCCTTCCCAAATTCATTTTATGAGCAATTCCCGCCCAGAACCTGACATGGCGTTCTTTTTTTTTTTTCTTTCCAAAATAATGTAAAAATTGGGGAAGTAGTCCAAACTAGCCAAGAAAATTTTGGAAGAGAAGATTAACTCCCTGCTAGATGGTGCAGCATCCTGCCCCTCTGGTGCTTAGTGTTGTGGGCGCTGGACAGGACACAGCCCGGCAGCCTCCTTGGTTTGTATAGAGAACCTGACTCGGGACAGAGGAAGGGTCTCAGGAAAAACGAGAGGGCTGTTAGAGAAAGTATCCAGGTGTATCACATGCCAGAAGTAATTCTACATGTAAAAGTGGGCATATCATCCTTTTCAAAAGAGGCTAAAGATCACTTGAACGGACAGCGTAGGGAAAAGGACTTTTCTAGGCATGAGAACAAACAGTGAGAGAAAGTCACAAAGGAAATGGGCAGTCGCAACGACTACATGAAAATGTACAGTAGAACCTGGCTAAGTCAGACACCTTAAGTTAAAAGCCTGGAGCTTCCCTGAATGGTCCCAGGCCGTCTAGGGGGGAGGCTGACTGGGGCTGGAGTGGCATCAGCTGTATCATATCAGGATTCAGACGCTTTGGGAAACGCTGGGTGAACTCAGCGTATGTGGGATCCAGGCCTAGGCCTTGGGGCTAATCAGAGCTTGAGGATGGGGTGCGAAGGAGTGGAAAGGGGTCCAGTGCCACAAGGTGCCCTCCAGTCTCGATTCTGTGATGTGTCTCTTTCACTCTGGGGCAGGGGTCACTCAGGCGACCGACCGTTGGCTCCTGCCCTCGGCTTCACCAGGCACGTTCACACTTCTCTGTGGGGCTTTGTCTTCTGCTCTGTGCCCCCATGGCTTCCTGTGTGCCTCCCCCAGAGTCTGGGCATAAAGCGAATGCTGCCCGACCATCCAGCTGGCTGATCCTGGCACTCCCGGGACCCCTTGGTGACCCAGGATGGCTGAGCTTTAAGCCGAAAATGAAGCACAGTCATGATGCCACTTCCCAGAGCACGTTGCTCATTGCAGGTCTGCAGAGAGTGACCGCGTGGGTAACATCACCGTGATCGGCTGGCAAATGGACGAGAAGTCAGACCAGCGGCCTCCTGTGACCCGGTCTCTGGACACCGTCAATGGGAGGGTGAGCATGCCACCTTCCTCCCTCCATGAAGGAGTAAGATGGACTTTGCCTGTGCGCCCAGGGGAGGAAAAGTCAGGACCTGCTGCTTGATGCTGTCCCCAGAGGGTGGGCCAGTCCCTCCAGTTGTTTCTCAAAGTACAGAGAAGGGGCTCCCCCAGGCCCTGCTGCCCGGGAGCCTGCCCTGCTCCTGGCCACACTGGCCACCTCTGGACATGGGTGGGAGGAGCTGCAGCCAGGAGGGGAGAGAGGTGGCTGGTGGGAGTGTGGAATGAGACCCAGATTGTCTGATATTTTGTTAGTATCTTCCTCTCCCAGACACTCACATGCTCACCATCGCCTTATCACCTCATGCGCGTGCGTACACACACACACACACACACACACACACACACGTCACATCTGCACACTCTCTCTGTATCCCACTCCCTTTCTCTCTCACACTCTCTCATGCTCTCAAACTAGAATTCTAATTTAAGAGCCCAAACCCTGGTAAGTAGTCATTGTTGTAAAATACAGATACCCATTTTACCCCAAATAAGCCCCGGATATCAGCTGTGGAAATACTCCTGGGCCTCCTTTGCCCCCCCCTTTAACTTAATACATCAAAACACTGAAGTACAAGGTGAAATGACTCAGTCAAAAGGCATGAATTTCTAGAAAACTGTGTGTGTGTGGAACAGGTTTGACTACTGGGAGGTGGATTAGTTTGGGGCTTGGGTGGCGTATTTACTGTAGAGTGGGTGTATTAGTCCTGAGAGTTCTTTAATGGCGTCTGTGGGCTGCCACTTCCCCTGAGTGCTCTGGACTCATCTGAATCTCACTTTTCTTGTGCTTTTCTATGCATGCCACCAGATGGTCCTGCCCGTCGATGAGAGCTTGACTGAGGCGTTGGGACTTCGGTCCAAACATGCTTCATTGCGGAAAGACACTTTACTGAAATCAGGTAAACGCTTCCTCCAGTGTGGTACTCTTGCCACTCTTGTGAGTGTCCACTCAGGCCCATGGTCCCTTTTCCTCTCCTCCGCCATGATTGTCACGGCCATGTGCCCCATTTGTCACATCTGGGCTGCGTAGCGACATGCTGTTGTTTTTGCCAGCGCATAAAGAGTCAGTGATACTCCAAGGATGTGGCCTCCTCTTTCGCTTCATGCTTTCTTGTTTTGTGTTGGGGTTGGGGACTGCCTGCCTTACTGCCCTAGTCCTTCCACCTGGGAGTTACGTGTTCTGGGACAAGAAAATCGCAGGTCGCATGGGAAGAGCAGTCAGGCTCAGTCACCTGGTGGGTTTTGGGTTTAAATGTGTAAGTCCCTAGAGATGGACAGGAAGAGGACGTGCGGGTGTCGGCACCATTGAGGGTCTGGGGAGGAGGCCCCTTGCGCAGGTCTGCAGCCAGCTCACATGGCTCCCCGCTGTCTCACCTCAGTGTTCGGCGGCGCCATCTGCCGCATGTACCGGTTCCCCACCACCGACGGCAACCACCTGCGGATCCTGGAGCAGATGGCGGAGAGTGCACTCTCCCTGCACGTGCCCCGGCAGTTCGTGAAGCTCCTGCTGGAGGAAGATGCGGCCAGGTGAGGCCAGGAGGAGTGGCCGACCACCCATCAGGCCCATGTCATTTGCCCTTTTCCTTCTGGAAAGCTCTTAGATGTAGTGGACAGAGCACCAGACGGCAAGCCCAGCCTCCGCCACTTGCCTGCTCTGTTTCCTGGGTTTGCCAGAGCCTCAGTTTGCTCGCCCGTGTCCTGGGTTTCCTGTGTGATGACTTCATGGATAACATGCCTGGAGCACCAGACACATCCCCAGCACTAGGTCCTCACTCCCTGTCCTTTTCCTCTCTTTTCCCCTCATTCAGGCTCAGAAAGTTAGAAATAGCTGGGTATTCTTTGGTTATGTCAGCCTGGCCAGCGGTTTCCGCGGGTAGGGCCACGGCGATACAGGCTCCAGGAGGCCAAGTAGGACCTATCAGGGTATCCCCCTTTGCTCAGGGCACGCGTCATTGTCCTACGGCAGGGAGAAGCCTGTGAGGTGGTTTGGGCACTGCAGGTCACATCTGCCATGTGCCTTACACTGTCATTTCTACCTCTTGTTGTAGAACAATGCGTTAATTGTAAGCACCATGTAACAGAAGCAAGAAAGAAAACAATGCAGCCAGAATTCTACAGCTATTTAAAAATATTTTTTGGGGGGCCGGCCGAGTGGCTCAGTTGGTTAAGAGCTTGCGCAAGAGTGCGAGCTCTGAGCAACAGCGGTTTGATGCCCAGCCCGAGCTGAGTTGCCAATGAGCTGCCAACAGGCAGCAGGATGGCTCAGCTAAAAAAAAAAAAATTTTTTTATCTTGAAAAATATTCAAGCTTAGAGAAAAATGGCAAGAGTAATGCAAAGAATTGCTTTCTCTCTACATGTATATATTTTATATGTATTTTAATTAAAAATTTTTTCCTTTCTGCATTTCCACACTTTCATCTATTGGGTTGTCAGGAAAGTCATGACACATTTTTACATTGGAAAACAGAAAAATACGTCATGACTTTCCCGACGGCCCAATATACATAGCAGGCATCTACTTTTCCATATATAGCTTCACTTTGCTTGTTCTAATTTTTAGTTAGGGCATAATTTCCCATTATTTGTACTATGTATGTACTTTTATGTACTATAACTTTAAAGACTTCATTGAACAGTGCTTTTGTCTTGATGGCTGTGTTGTTTTTCATCCCAGCCACGTGGCGGGCACTGCGCTCAGTGCAGGGGCTTTTGATGAGTGAGACAGACCATGGGAGACAGTCACAAACAGAGAACTGGGGCCACACAGGGGCCCCAGATGTGTCAGCAGATAGTAACAGGGCTGTGAGGAGGAGGAGGAGGTCCCGGCAGGCCTCTGTGAGACCGTGCCACTAAGCTGACACTGGTGCGAAAGAAGGAGCCCATGGATCATGGTGGAGACATCCAGTGAGAGGGGCCATAGTGGTGAGGCTACAGGCTCCTGTATGTGAGCTGACCTCAGGCCGGGCCTGTGGGCTGCGGTGAGCGCAGATGCGCTGGGTCTTCTCTTAAATTAAGTTTGCTAATTTAATAGCAATAAAGTGGTACAACCTTTTAAAAACTTCAGACACTTCTTTAGTAGCTTCCTAAAAACTTTTATAAAATTAGCTTTTTTCCTTCCTCAAAGGAAAATATGCATAGTCTAAAAAAGCCAAATAGTGCCAACAGCTTTCAACGAAAGACCTACGTCCTGGAGCCCTCGACTTTCTGATCCCAGAAACAACCACTGTTAGCTGTTGTAGTGTCGACTGCTGTATTTCTAAATATATGCTGCATACTCTTAATCCATTTCAGGCATTAGCTACTGAATTCCTATGAAAAGAGGATTTTAGGTCTTTTATACTTTGCCATTCCTCAGTTTCTAAAAAAAAAAAAAGTT